TCATGTCATTACCTTCTGCAACCTTTTCTCCTTATCTTCCTTTAGAGCTAAAACAGTCTTAGTCAATCTAGACAATGTATTATCACTTATGCTTTTTGATTGTACACCACGAGAATCATTCTTATGTAACGCTAGTGAAGAAGTCCACACCAAGAACAGCACAAAGACCATATACAGTGCTCACGAAATCAAGAACTTACCAAAATGGATCCTCTGGTGACTCGGATCTAATTTTCATCACTACTATCTCTAAAATGAATACTCACCTGAAGTCATTTGGCACACGGGAACAAATTCATAATCCTCGTAAGAAAAAAAGAAAAAAGGGAAAACAATATAAAAGAAAACCCATCATTCGAGTTCTCCACAGACTACAATTCGAGGGTAGAGTATTTTTTATCTCATGGGCTAACATCATATATTACATAAAATTTTTTAACTTCCCGTAGCGATTATTCAAGATACGTGAGTCAATACTACAGAGATTCGGTCTCACGTGTTTGTTCTTAAGGTCATGAGCCTTGTTATCAGAGAAAGTAGTAGGTTTGTGGAAAAATATGATGTCACCATAGATGTCTGTATACTGTAATGAAGTATGCACAAACAATTTTCATTTTCTCATATCTGCAATGAACTAACAACTTTCATTTTCTCATCAATTTCCATTTTTTTTTAGAAAACTATGAAGTACGCACATTGACGGACTTTGTGACGTAATAGTGGGCGTATTATAATTGCAACAGTAAAATCAATAAAGAGAACTAAACCAAACCGATCACTTTAGGTAGGTGACGAATAAATGCAGGCAACATCATCTAAAAGGTGAAAGTCTGTGTACATAGTTTTTAGCTAAGGATAGAAGAACTCACCCTGCAGATGAAAAAGGGCTTTCAAGTCAGACATATTTGATATTTTACCTCGCATAATATCATCAAATGTGATACTTTTCAGTCCGATGTACTCCGGTTTGCTCCCGCAAATATAATCCTCCTGAGAACGACGAAACAGACATCCGCTTCAGATTAGCCAATTGCATAATGTAAATTCATGGACAGCAATCACAAAGCCAAATATAAATTTACTAAAAAAACATTAAAAAATCCAGGGTCTACGAATTATGAAGACCTCACCTCTTGAGACCAAGAAACTATATGCCTCTCCTTCTGCTTCGACACTTCAACACTATTCGCCACACTTTAACTTGCACACCTTCAATTTCTCCATAACTTGCAAACTTCTATCACATCCTCTATCATACTCAGCACCGAATTCCTCAATGGGAAATATAAAACAACACAACCGAAATGAAAATAGACAAACCCCGTGAATAAAGATGGAGTCTTTTAACCTCTTTTCGACAGCAACATCAAAAAAAACAAAAAAACACAAAAAAAAAAAGAATTATTGGTCTTTTTCCTAGGATTCTACCTTTTTTTCTCCCTTCTGTGCTCGGCTGAATTGGTTGTACCTCTGCTGCTGGAAATTGGAGATAACTAACGTCCCCCCTTTGCCTCCGCCGCCAAACCCTACCTCAAATCCTTATTAACAGAGCAGGCCAAGAACATCCCAAGCGGCGTAACTGAGAGATCGAGAGAGTCGGACGCGGCTGGGCTCAGATGATTGAACAGAGCTCTCGAGCTCGTGCAGACCCTCGATGACGACTTATCTGATCGGGCTATCAGCGGCTAGGAACTCCGATCCGGTCACTTCTGCACAAAGAAAACAGAGAATCCCAATCGTGAGACTGTACTGACCAGTGCTACTAGCGTGTGTCTTGCACAGCTAACAAGGTGTGCCAAGGCAGTTTAAAATGAACATGTTACTTTATAAAATGTAACATATTCATTTTAAAAAAGTCTTGGCATACTTTGCTAGGTGTGCCAAGGTGCACCTAAGTATTTGCGTGTACTGACTGCCCTCCCTGGACAGTTGTTCGATCTCACGCGTCGCCGCCGCATATCGAAACTCTGAGCCGCAAATACTTAGGTGCGTCTGACGCTTTAAAATGAACATGTTGTGTTACAAAATGAATATGTAAATATGATTTATACATGTTCATTTTGTAACATAACATGTTCATTGTAAATCGTCCTGGCATACTTTGCTAGGTGTGCCAGGGCACACAGTAGTAGCAGTGACTCTCAGCAGCCATCTGTCAGTGCTGTACAAATACCCTAATCCTCTATTTATATCTATCCATCTATATACTATTATAAAATGACGGAGTGATTTTGTAACATATTTTCTAATGGCGAATTCCATCTACATGAAGAGTAAGGGTATGTTTGGTAAACCACATGAGGTAGCTTATAACTTATTTCGTTAACTTATATGTTCTCTGTATTAAAATAAGTCTCGTTTAGTAGGACGAGTTTTTTTAAAAAAACTCGAGCTTATTTCATAAGCTACTTTAGATAGTTTTTCAAATAAGCTAGTTGAATTTTTTATTTCAGCTAGCTTATCAGCTAATCTACCAATCACCTTTTATCATATAAGCTAGTTTTTCAGCTATAAGTCATAAGCTATAAGCTTAAAATTTACATATAAGCTATAAGCTATCCTATCAGCTATCAGCTAGCTTATCAGCTAATTTTACCAAACATAGACTAAGAGGTTTCTGCACGGATAATTCCTTTCCTTAGTAATACAACAAGAGTAATGTTATAGGTACATAATATTGTACATAGGGGTGTACATAACACTACATTGAGTAGAACCCACTTAAAATAAAAAAATTAAGGGAAATGCTATATGTACACAATATTGTACATAGTGGTGTACATAACACTCACATTGAGTGGGATCTACCAAAATAAAAAATCAAGTAGACCTCACCTCATGTGACTGTTATGTACATCATTTATTATGTACATGTAACATTTTCCAAAAATTAAGTGGACCACACTCCATGTTAGTGTTATGTACATCTCTATGTACATTTATTATGTACATGTAGCATTTTGCATACAATAATACTTATTTTATCTTATATTTTTAATTAACAAATGAATAATCTTAAAAACTCTTACTATAACTTATTTTTAATGGCAAATTAAATTAAGAGTAATACTATATGTACATAATATTGTACATAAAGGTTTACATAACACTCACATTGAGTGGGACCCACCAAAAATAAAAAATTAAGTAGACTCCAGTGAGTGTTATCTATGTACATTTATTATGTACTTGTAGCATTTTCCAAAATAACCTATCTCATGGTAGCTAATCCAGAGTTCTTCAAAATTTAAAATTAATTTTTTTTTACCAAGAAACTATATCAATATATTATCTGTATGCATCTATCCAATTTGTATTACTATAATAAAGGGACGTTTTTCTTTAAACAAAATGTATAATATATATATATATATTATACTTTTGATTGCGCGTTATACCCCTTAGATTATACTTTTGATTGCGCGTTATACCCTAAAAATGCGTCATACCCCCTTGTATTATACGAGTTTAGGGGATAACGCGCAATCAAAAGTATAATACAAGGGGGTATGACACATTTTTTAAAATACAGAGGGATAAGGCGCAGATTTCGTATAATACAGGGGGGTTTGGCGCAATTTACCCTAATAAAGACATTACAACTAATTGATATATAATAAGACATGTGACCCCAAAAGTTTCATACTTACTTTTATTTTTATTTTTTTTAAATATATATATATATATATTAAAAATCTTATGAAAATTAAAAATATTAAATATGTATAATAATAATAATAATAATAATAATATAATTAAGTTGTAACACTTGCTTATAAAAATAAAAAAAAGCAATAAATACAAAATTTATAATTAATAAAATTTAATATTAAATTTGTAATACTTGTACTTATCGTGTTGAGTCGAATTGTTTAACGCTTGTTAATTTAGTGGATTTAATGATTTCAATTACCATTATTTAGTGTTTCGTGAATTTTCGTTGAATTTTTTCTGACCATATTTCAACTATTGGAAAAACTATATATTAAAGATCTTATGAAAGAACTATAAAGTAAAAAATATTACCATGTTTTATATTTTTATTAACTTTTTAATTAATTTATTACTTTTAGTTATTTGAATTACATTATTTATTAGGTATGGAATTGTACTTAAAACCTCCCGTTCCATTAGAACAATTAATTGTACATATAATTTTATTATTAAAGCACACTAAATACAAATGATATCTTAAGTATGCCATTTTAACATTAAAAAAAACTTTCATAACAACTCAATCAATAGTTTTTGCTTAAATAAAAAATAATAATAATTATATTTTTATAAACAATACTTATTATAAACAAATTATATATACATATTAATGAAATATTAAATGAATAACTGTTGATGTAGGGGTCACAGCAAAGAAATGTTACACAAAGAAGACCACATTTTTCAATTAGAGAACGAAATTGAGTTCTCATAACAAGAAAAAGAGGACCAAACCTCGCCATCATATTCACGGTTAAATTTCATTTTTAATGATAAAGTGAAAGTATTTTAGGCATATCATATTTTTACAGATTTATTAGCACTTTTATAATCGTGTGTATATATATATATATATAGATTGTGATTAATTTAGTTTGTGGGTTATTGTTGTGTAGTTTTTTTTTTTTTTTTTT